AAGTGACAAATCTTTTTGATATTTCATTGAAAATTTCAGATATTTCTTGAGAAAGGTAAACGATGATTATGAACATTTTACCCTATAATTCCAACATGTTCTTACCTAGAATGACTTAAAAAGCACTTTAACAAAAATAAATAATGAACATTCATAAAGTGCAACAATCCGTTTAAAAGACACTCAAGGCGCTTTACAAAATCAAAAAATAAACCATTATAATAATAATCAATGAAGAAACAAAATTGTAACTGTAACGTAACAATGTGTGAAAATATCAATACAAAGAATTAAGATGTCAAAGATAAAAACAAACAAAAAAGCTTAATAAACACACAACCCAATAAACGCAACAAAACATGAAAAATGCACTAGAACCAAATCAACATACACCCCCTTAAAAAAGAAAAAAACTGCAATTTTTAAAGAAAGGAATCAAATACGAAAAATATAAAGTATCCAAATTAAAAACACCTATTATATACACATACAAAAATTATACAAACACACATGCAAATTACCAATAAAAACCCATAGAGACCTTGAACGAAAGAATTGATGATAAAACAGAAACAATCAAATGTTTGTCTGATCGCATGCCAATGACAAATCCAATACAATTTAGAAGGAACCCTGTCCCATTCTATTAAAGCTACAGGTTGATCTGTACTGATAACATATCGTTTCATACAAAAGGAAAAATGATCACTGCATTCTGAAAGAACAGGTATTATAACGTGCTTTACAACAGACCAAAAGTATCTGACTGGACCACACAGAATGTGCATGAATGTATATTTTAGTATGTGATCACATCGTGCCATATTATGAGCATAAATTTCGTCAGGTGCCTGGAAGAAGGTCGTAATTGGGCCAAGTTAGTCAAAAGATCAAATTCGGTTTTTTCGGGTAATCGATAAAGCTTGGAAATATCTTTTATTTGATATACGTATTGTCTCAAGGGGCTACTTCATTCTGACATAATTAACAATAAACAAACGACGGAAGGAGGTTTCCCATTATTTGTGCCCAGCAAATGGTCGTAAGCGTGTAATTATAATGTAACAAAAAGTTCCAAGCAGGCTAACATCCCACTTAAATTGGTACGCAAAGCCAAGTTTCTTCCCCACAAAAGGATCTTAGGATTCAACATGCCGCTTAAGCGCAAGTTTAATGCAGGGTGAGTTCACATTTAAGGCAGATGGAGTTCCTGGTAAAAGGTTGTAAGCAGAACAATTTAAATAACTTCAAAATTAAGTAATATTTTGAAATATGAATGTTCAATATGATTTTCAATATTAAATACTTTCATGGGCCCAAATTTCAGCCTGATGTGATTTTTCATTTAGAAATGGAAGCACAAAACCTTTCAACTCGATTATCTCCAAAAGTGCGTTTTGCGTGCCTGGGCTGCTTACGTCATTTTCCTTGGCACACAACGATTTCAAGATGGCAGCACCCCATGCAGGGGGTCATAGCCAGGTCAACTTATTCCACTTCTCCAAATCACTACCTCCAGCTTGGGGTGGGGGAAACTCAAACGAGACCGGATTCAAAGGCGGGGACCAATCGAGCGAGGTCTTGTAGACTGGATTGAACAAGTTGATGGTGGACTTTGCTGTGGCCCCGCCCACTGCCCAACCCACATCAGCGTAACATTTGCCATCACTGGCACTGATGGTTGACTCTACTGTGGCCCCACCCACAGCAGCGTAACAACTGTCATCACTGGCGTTGCCGGGCTGATCCTGGAAGCACTGGTTTGGGGGTGGGGAGGGAGGATAGTCATCTGGTAGGAGGACTGGCTCCTTTTCCTCTTACCCTTGACCTTTCTGATGACCAGAGTGATGAGGACGATGACAATAATGAGGAGGACTAAGCAGCGGTAACGGCAATCACTGCGATCATCAGTCCATTTGCCAGGCCTAAAATAATAACATATTTTATAAATTATATTTTTAGCTTTGCATTTTATACGTTGACAATGCGTTGCTGAAGTTTCCATGGTCTTTAGAGCCATCAGATACCGAATTCCAACATTGTATTGCTGCATTGCTGGGGAAGTGTCCAATTCTTGGTTTTTTTTTAATATAATGTTGCACGGATTACAAATGACCCAGGAATTAGTGTTGCATTCCCCACATAAGTTCATGCATGTCAGTGAAATATAACATCCATGAGAATGTCACATGTGAACCCAGATGCATAAATGTCAGGTGAATATGAATATTAATCGTCCTGATTCATAGCCAATCAGAGTGCTCCATCCTGTTTTGGTAGCACGTCCATGCCGTGTGTACAAGGGGTTGCAGATTATTGAAGTTGGCAATTGGAATCAACGTACACACATATGAGGTCAAGGATGTAGGAATCGTTCCTGCGTGTTATTATACCATGCACTTCACATAACCCCGGGACGTTATGAGGTAGTCAACGCCGCTGGTACAGTACGGTATGCCATGGTGCAGGCGGACCAAACCCGGCCAATTACCGACTTGATTCAAGTCTAGGCTATGAGATTGGCCCATTACCTGAGTGAGTTCTGTAGCTGCATATGGTTCCTTCAATGCTTGAAAGCTCCAAGGCAAAGCGCATGTGTTGCATCCCGGGATGGCTTCCTGAAACGTTAATGGAAAGAAAAGCATACATAAGCTCAATGACAGGACCTCTCATACCCTTATGGTTCTACGCCCTGCCCTTTTTGAGCCAATACAGATTTCAAATAGACTGACACCACATTATTGCTGAACATACCTGTTCATCTGTCTGTGATATGTAGAGGTAGGCGTGGCTCTCCCCAATCTCAGCATTCATCTCAGCAATGGACCAATCAGCCTATGGAAGGCAAAAAATATAAATGAATATTCAATTCAGTGCCGAATGAACTGAACTTGGATGCATACAGCTTATTTAAAAAAGAGACAGCTTTAAAGAATGTCAGTTTTGTTATTAACTGACATCACCAGTGCTGGGGTTGGGCAACAGGAAAGCTAGGAACAGCTAATCACTGAAAGAAATGAATTTAGTTATGATGCAGGCATAGTGCTGTTGAATGCTATACATGCATGTAAAACACAAAATGCACAATAGCTACATGTAAAATGTTGACAAATATAAAGAACGTGAAAAAAATATATAGATTTCATAAGTATTTACTGTTGGTTCATTGTTTACTTCTTTTATATTCCATTTTTTGGTCTATACAGCAGACTTGAGTATCCTGATTTGAAACATATCATCGCAGAGCTGACATACTGACGAATATTTAAGCCAAAAGCATGTTTGGAGTAATTCGCGTATGAAGTTGGACATTTTTCAGGGCGTTGTGTTTTACCCCTTAATAATAACCTAATCGAAATAAAATAGGAAACGTAGTATCAATCAGGTTACCTATTTAATCAGAGAAGTTGTCAATTGTATTTGATCGTAAACGTATTCCTCAGTTTGTCAAAAATCTCTAATTGCCGGTTGATCTTCACACTGTTTGTATGCTATTCATCAGTTTGTCGGATCGTGCATGCACATGCACGCAATCTGACAAACTGACAAATAACATTCGTTGGTACTTTGAATGCAATCCTTACATAAGCTGGTTACCAGCGCAACTCAATATTTGTCACTATGTCATATTATGGATTTGTTATTGTGACTGATTCGCCACAGGGAGTGGGGGTGGGGGCGAGTCCAAATCTCAAAATCGAGACAAGAATTAAGAATTTTGGCTTCCTGATGTTTACCTTTCTGATAAACTTGCCTGTCATATTGCTAATATTACCAGCCCAGGACCTTTGGATCCATTTGATATAAAACACAGTCTACATGCTGTATTTGATTTTACTGTGAGCACGTACCAAAGTGCTATATTATCGGACTTTGGGTACTAGTGCAAATATTACCAGCCCAACACCTTTGGACCCATTTGATATAAAACACTGCATTTGATGTTACTATGAGCATGTACCAAAACTCTACACAAGTGGAATACAGGGACTGCAAATGAGTGTACTCAAAATCAGGTGACATGGGCTGTGTGAGAATATAAGCCGTTTTTGTGTAAGCGACATCAGAATTGGCAGAGCAGTGGCTAATTGTATGAATCCATAAGGTAAGGTTTTAAGTTGGTTTATGTGTAAGTCTATCTTTATTAAGCAAACAGTTGATTAACATCACCAATGACACAAAACATATTGGAAATTAAGGCGGATCTGTAATGTAAAACATGTCAGAGTTAATGCTACAGTAGAATATGTGAATTTACTAATTGTATTCATGACAGAAAAACAAGTGACTCCATGTTTGTACTTAGTTAAAAAAAATAATGTAAAACTATTTGGCACAAGTTTTCTACTGATTAAAAAAATCAAATCAAAACTGACTGGAGGATGAGTTTTCTTTCAACAAAATAGTACACCTTTCTTTATAAATATGGACTTGTTCTAGCAAGTGTACGCTTTAAAATACAGGCCAGTTAAAATACCTAAGACATTATTTTATGCTATGTGAACTGTCTGTTATGATCTTTATTTACAGGTGCAAGTTCTATCTACATGTAGGCCGACCCCAATCACATTAATTCAACCAGTCAGAAGATGGCATCTAGTGTTACAGCTCAATCAGTGTTGGAGAAGATTAGTGTGGATCATCTGGAGTGCTCCATCTGCACCAACCGTTTCAGGCAGCCCAAACTGCTGGACTGTTTGCATAGTTTTTGCCTGCAATGCCTCCATGACCTCAGACAGAGCCAAGATCCTAGTGCTACAAAGCTGACGTGTCCTCTGTGCAGACGTGAAACCATGTTGAAAGGGTCTGGGGTTGCTGATCTCCCTAATAACTTTGCATTCAGTGCTCTGGTGGAGGAAGTTACAATGCAGGAAAAGCTACTGGAAGTTAAAGGGTCAGAGATCAAATGTCAAGCCTGTGATGAGGAGAATCGGGCTATTTCAAGATGCATGGATTGTGATCATTTCCTCTGTCAAGAATGTCAAAAGGCTCATGAACGTATGACTGCCATGAAATCTCATAAAATCTACACACTGGCTCAACTTCGATCAGGGGAGATTGTCTACAAGAGTAAACTAAGAGAAGAAGTTCCTAAGTGTTGCAAGCATCCAGATCAGAATCTGAATGTCTACTGCAACTCATGTGAGCAAGTCATATGCACAACATGCTCTGTACTTGATCATGCAAAACACTCACTCACTGGATTACCTGAGGCAGTAGAGAAATGTAAGAAGAAGGTTGCAGAAATGGTCCAAAAAAGTGAAAGCAGAAGAGCAGAATTGAGCACCACCTTAGAAGAGACGTCCGAATCTCTTAAGGAACTGGACACCATGTTTGCAAACACTCAAAAGAAAATCTCCAAGAAGGCTGAACAGGAGATTAGGAAGACCGATCAGGAGATTAGGAAGACCAAACAGGAGATTGTAAAGATCCAACAGGCGGTTGCAAAGATCGAACAGAGGATTTCAAAAATCCACAAGGAAGAACAGAAATTAATGAAAGAGATGGACAGAATTTATAAAGACAGAGTCAGAACAATTGAAGCTACTCAAGCTACCAACAGGAAAGAGGTGACACAGTCAGAGCACAAGCTGGAGGAGGTCAAACAACTCATGAATCAAGCAAGTTGCTATGAGCTTCTTGAACTCCAACAGAAGCTCTTGCATAACCTCAGTGAATTGACAGGGAAACAACCACAGCAAGTTCCTGACAAGTTGACCTTCATGGACTTTGAAGAAGGTGAGAGGTCACTTGGGAGACTCATTGTGAAAAAAGAAGAGCCACAGGCTGTAGCAAAGCAATCACCAAGACCTGGAAGATCATGTGTGAAGGAGAAATGGGAACTGAAGAGTGAAATCGAGAACTTTGAATTAACACATGCATTTATAAAACATGTTGCAGCACTCTCTAAAAATACAATATTTACATCTATAACAAGTTCTGGAAATATTTTTAAAACATTTGCTGGCAACAGTGATAAACTATTCACAGTTTCTATTCCCAAAGTCATCTGCAACAATCACCTTTCCCACA